AAACTAAAATATCTGATGATGATTTAAATGTATTCACAATCCTTGTTCCCCTTTGGTAATTCCGAAACTTTTTTTTTTTTAAATTCCTAAAAGGCATATCCTTTCTCCATGGATAGAGAGACAGAGAGAGGGATCACCCTCTATTGGGGTGTGTTCATGCTCATTCCCTGTTCTTCCATTTCTCCATCCTGTTCATATTTGGGGCTCCCATGCATTCTTGCTTGGCGTGGTTTTCAAGCTGCTGGGGCTGGGATCTGAATCATATTCAACCATGTGGGCTCTGGCTCACTTAGCCCCCAGGCTACAAGGCCTGCCCTCCAACACGTTAGACCAAATACATAATGCAAAACGAACACAGAAGGTCAACAAAAAATGAATAATTTTGATACATTGATGGGACCAACCGATGGCGTAATGGTTACATTGCAGGACTCCCATGTAGTTGACCATGGTTTAAATTCTGGACCTGGTGGCTTAAAACTCATGCCAGCTGCGTGTGTGAATGCCCAAAATCCCAAGAAGAGAGTGGAGGAGAAGGGGCAGAGGCATGACCATCCCCCCTGCGGGGTGATTTCTCGGTTTCTCTCTGTTTCTCTCTGTCTCTCCAGCAAGCTCATATGCCCTATAGCAAAACCCTCTTTAAATAATAATACTTTTGTTACTTTGAGTTACATTACTCTTTAAAGGTGTACATAGAGCAATATGTACTTTAGCTAAACACACAAGAGAAATAAATGGTGTTAGTAAAGAACTGCGGGGGCTGGATGGTGGTGCAGTGGAAAAACACGCTCTGTGAGAAGGACCCACAGGAAGGTTCTGGGTTTGCATCCAGAGACCTCCCTGAGTAGAATGGGAAAATAAAGCCCACAGTCTGGAGTAACCGAAGCTGGGGGTGGACTGTGATGTCAAAAACCTGTTGGGAATCAGCAGTTAGCGTAATGGCTATGTTGCTGGACTCCCACGTAGTCGACCGCGGTTCATGTCCCGGACCCGGTGGCTTAAAACTCACGCTGGGCGCGTGTGCGTGTGTGCCCAAGATCCCGAGAGGAGAATGGAGGAGAAGGGACTGCGGCGTGACCATCCCCCCTGGGGGGTGATTTCTCGCTTTCTGTCTCTATGTCTCTCTCTGTCTGTCTGGCGAGCGCACGTGCCCTATAGTGAAAATCTCTCCAAAACAACAACAACAACAACAACAAAAAACCTGTTGGGGGTGCCTGTCTTTCTCTTGTTTTTTCACTTTCTCTCTCACAAATGGAAAAAAAATAATAAATAAAATTTTTAGAAAGAAAGACAAAAAAAATCTGAGACATGAAGTAAAAAAATTGATTTAAACTTTGGAAGAGAAACTTAATCTATGCATTTTTGAAAATTGCTGTGAACGACGTAGGTAGCAGGTTAGAGTGAGAGTGTAGGTTCTGCATTCTGGTGCTGAGGAAGGTCCCCTGTGGTCACTGCCAGTGAGCACCATCCGCTGTTCAGGACCACTGTCTCCTCAGCCGTGTGTATTATTATTTTTGTCCATGTTTCAGGTCATTTCACCCTGGAATTCTTTCCTTAGGATCTATCCCCAAGAAATCCAAAATTTATCCAACATGTGTGTGTTTTCTCTAAAAATTACTATAGTGGGGCCAGCAGGTGGTGTGGTGGTTAACGGTGCTGGAGTCCCACATGGCCGACTATGGTTCGAGTCCTGAATGTGACGGCTTGCTTTCTCACTTTCCCTCACTCTCTTTTTCTCTCTCTCTCACTCTGTCCCTCTCTGGTCAAATTAAAATAAATAAATAAATAAAGTTAAAGAAAAAGTAATTCTTTAAAAACATCACTATAGACATGAAAATGTCAGTAAATAGATGATAATGATTGTATGTTAACAAAATTAACAATAAATAATGTAAATATTATTACGTCTCCATAAAAACATCTTGCATTCTCTTTTATTTACTTACTTTGTTAGGATTTTTGTCATAGGGCGTATAAGCTTGCCAGAGAGAGAAAAAGAGAGAGAGTGAGAGGGACAGTGAGAAGTCACCCACCAGAGGGGATGGCCACACCACAATCCTTTCTCCTCCATTCTCCTCCTGGAATGTTAAGAGAGCACACGCATGTGCCTGGTGGGATTTTTAAGCCTCCAACTCTGGGACTTGAACTGTAGCAGGCCATATGGGAGTACGACACCTTAACCACATAGCACCTGCTGCCCCAGCTTGCATTCTCTTACAATGTGTTTATATGTAGTTTATGACAAGATGGAATATAAGTATATTAAAAAGTCAAAGCAAACACATAGTTTAAAAACTATATACTCTGCCATCACGTATGCTAAAAACAACAGGCACCGCGAGCACAGCGATGTGGAATCACGCGCACACACACACACACACACACACACACGCACACACACACACACGCACACACACACGCACACACACACACGCACACACACACACACACACACACACACACACACACACACACTGGAAGGAGGTGAACCATCAACACCTGGGTTGTGGCATAGTTTGAGGGAGAGGCCATGTTAAGTTCTGGTCTTAGCATACTCTGTGTAAGTATATGTTCTGTCCATGCGCAGGGAAGGGGAGTAAGGCAAAGCCCGTGAGCTGACGACGCAGCAGGTGAGAGGTGCAGTCAATCCGCACGATAAAGCAGCCTCCCTACAGCTACTTCAATCTCGTTAAAGACCACACTTCAATAAGCACACGTGCTCTGACGAGCGCGCACGCTTGGACAGACGTGGTGCAGGACAAAGGGTGGCTGAGATCGTAACAGAAGATCGTGTCCGCATCCTCACCTCGTGAATGCCATACAGCCCAGATTTAGTGCGCAGTAATCATAGAGGTCCAGGGCCTTTATCCCTCTCTCTCTCTCTTTCTCCTTGGTCAGATAAATAATAATAATAACAATAAAAATAAATAAATAAATATTCTTTAAAAATGTGTGTGTGATGGCTGGAAGGCTTCCCTTCACAGTTTCCACTGCTCTAACCTCAGAGACGTGGACAGGGAGGTGTGACTGCTCATTCTCTCTGAGAGCCGTCTGGGGTGACGGTCACGCTGACTTTCAGTGCCCAGGTTCCCTTCCCACCCGCAGGGCCACTGGTGTCTGAACCACAGTGAGGTGGTCTACCCCGGGAAGATCTGAGAGCCAGAAGTGATGCCAACCCTTAATTAAAACAATAATAAATATTTTTTATGTTCCATAGAAAGTTCCAGGCTGTGACCAAGTAATGAGGTCAATAATTGTTCTTTTGTAAAGCAGCTAGAAAACTTGGCAAAATGAATATATAACGACTTTCACTCAGAAATCTTTTTCTTACATCGCTCTAGAAATGACCAAAGGCCACAATGTATCAAGCCCCAGTCCTGGATTCAGCCATTTCTCCTCTACGTCCTCACACCTTCAGAGAGACATAGAATTCAGAGACCTGGGTAGAGATGCTGAGTGCTCTCTTCTGGATTACTGCTGTCTAGTTTTCCTGAGGACAGCTTCAAAAGAAGTAAACAACATTGATGTGAAGTCCGTATTACAAGGGTTCGTGTTTCTGTGTTTTCAATACACGCATTTTTTCATAAATGGGAGATAGAAAAACAGCACCCCAATGGGGTTTTGACTTTGCAGTCACCCACAGCCTCGGCAGTGTGGATCAGGAGCACAGGCCCACCCCGTGTACAGGAAGGTCTTCGCTTCACACTGGCACCTTCTCCTGTGGGCAGCCTCTCAGAGCCCTCCCTTTACTACAACACCACCCTCCGGCCCGCCCAGATTGTGCCATACTTATTAATCTATAAAATTTTTACATTCGTTTATGCAATCTTTACTATATAATTTCTTATCATTTATATTTTTTAAATTGGTTTTATTTTTATTTTTAATTAAGATTTGTTTGTGTGGATAAAACATTTACATGGGTCTAAGGGAAAAACTATAAAAGAAGGTGCCCTAGGGGTGCTAGCTTCCATCCGAGATTTCCCTTCCATCTTTTCTCCCTCATCCTAGAGAAAAAACAATTGCTTCTATTAGATGTTCTAGCTTTATTTCTTCAAAAGTCTTTACTTTTAGTATGCTGTTGACAGATACAAAATAGAAAGCTCAGGTGAATGTGAAGTTTAGGTAAACGGCAAGTACAATCCCGTCTATGGTATACACAAAGTGCTGCATGCCATGGCACCCCATGCTTTTTTCCCCTTACTTTTTCTATTTAGACTGAGTCTCACTCTGTCACCAAGTCCTGCCTCAGCCTCCTTAGTAGCTGGGACTGTTTGTGCATCTCCATGCCTGGATTTTAGGATGGGCCAGGAATTGAACCCAGGCCTCTCAGGTAACTTCAGTCTTCCAGGTAGCAGTATCAACTTGCATGCACTTCCACAGCTGGACCTGTACTGGTTTTCTTTTAATTTAATCTTGAAATCCTGGGTGAGGAAGCCTCTTTACTTGATGATGAACAGAAATCCTGTAACACAGTGGTTTGTGCACAACACACACACACACACACACACACACACAAGTCCACTTACCTTGGACCGGAATCAAGTATGGCTAACTGACCTTATACCCATTTCTTGTAATAAAACTGATTCAGAGCTTCTGAGATCTGCTGGTGGTGGTCGCCTCACTGCCTAGTGACAGGTGCAAAGAAAGGTGATTCAGGACCAGGATGCAGAAGTTTCCTCTCAGGACAAGACCATGGCAGGGCACTGATAGACTGATATTCCGGAATGCAGGGAGTGAACTGATGTCGACTGCTCCCTCCACCAGGGAACAGGCAGCTGTATCCTTGGTTCTGCTTCCTGCCATATTTGGTTCAATCTCTTCAGTTCTGGGCTCTCAGGGCTGCTGGCTTCTCTCCTGGAGGGAGCCTCCTCCCACCTGCCACAGGAGGGCGCTCCAGCAATGGGTGACAGAGCAGCAGGGGCTCCTCCCCCAGGCCCCAGTGCCCACCCCTGCTGGGTAAATAGCTGGGTGTTCCTCTAAGACAGACCCTCAGTGACTTCTCTCTGCTGTGGCCTAGTCTGGAAGACCAGCCCGAACTTACTGTCTTCTGCCCTAGGGCTCTCTTTTTTTTTCTAGGTGGAACTGAGTTTTGAGAGGATATTTTATGCCTTTGCCATCTGGGACCCTCCCAGCCCCACCTTCTAAGGCCTGGGAAGGGAGGATGCCCTGGGCTCTTGTCCAACTTTTAGCTTTCCTGGCTTCTGGTAAGTATATTGTATAGAAAGATACTTAATGAGTTTTAGTTTTTTCAATACAAAATATTCTAAGGAATTCATCCATATGTTTTGTTTTACCCACTGTAGCCAGTCAAGTATCTTCCAACTTGGAAGGGAGAATGATTGTCACTGGGAAGACTGGATCAACTGTTGTAATCTCTTGTAATTTACAAGTCAGTGCCAGCTACATCCACTGGTACCAATTCCAGGAGGGGAAGGCTCCACGACGACTTCTGTACTTAATACAGTCTAGCTCCAAAGTTGTGATGGATTCAGGAATCAGACAAGAAAAATACCAGGCTTATAAAACCACAGGGAATAACTATGAACTTGTACTCAGATATCTGGAAAACAGTGACTCTGGAATGTATTACTGTGCCTTCTGGCCCAGCACAGTGATTCAGACCTGCCTTGTGCTGCACCGAAAATGTAACTCGTGGCTGGTGTATAAGATAGACCTGCCCCATCTCACTTCCTGCCCCTGACCTCACTTTATGCTGAACAAACTGACTTCTGGAGCTCAGTGCCTCACACACACCCAACATCCCACTCCCCTGTCAACAGCTTGCCCTACCCTCTGTCATCCTCCAGGACTTTCCTTAGATGAAGCTACTATTGTTAGACCTTAGTCAAGCAGTCCGGCTGGCAGCAGAGTTCTCTTTGAGCTCTTCTAGGGGTGATGAAGAGGCATTCACCTACTTTCTATGACAGAGAAGGTCATCAGGGGTCGATATACTATGGGAGACCTTAAGAGAGCATTATGGGAAGGGTACTCATATTGAATATTTTATTCAATAATTATCCAATGATCATGGCTAGGAGTGATAATTATTCATTCTTTAGGAGCATGTGAAATGGTGGAATGAACCTTTGAACCTTATGAAAACCTTGTGCTTGTAATCAGATTGCCATAGACTGTCATAGTCACCGATCCGTCACTGTTCACCTCATCCAGAGCAACTTCAGTCCTTCGAGCTTCATTTGTGAAGTACCCTATACAGCTGTGCCTTCTTCTTTTTCTTTTTTAAATTTTTGCTCTCAGGCATGTGCACTTGCCAGAGCAGGAGAGAGAGAGAGAGAGAGAGAGAGAGAGCGCGATCACCCTCCACGGAGGATAGCCATGCTACAATTCTTTCTCCATTCTCTCTTCAGGACTTGGGGCATGTACACACAGGCACTGGCATAATTTTCAGAGTGCTGGGTCCAGGACTTGGACTGTGGAGTTAGTCATGTGGGATCCAGTGCCTTAACCTCTATACCACCTGCTGGCCCGCTATGCCATTTATTTATTTATTTATTTATTTATTTTTGAGAGATTTTCACTGTAGGGCACGTGCGCTTGCCAGACAGACAGAGAGAGACATAGAGACAGAAAGCGAGAAATCACCCCCCAGGGGGGATGGTCATGCCGCAATCCCTTCTCCTCCATTCTCCTCTCGGGATCTTGGGCACGCACGCACACGCGCCCGGCATGAGTTTTTAAGCCACCGGGTCTGGGACGTGAACCGCGGTCGACTATGTGGGAATCCAGTGACATAGCCATTACGCTAACTGCTGGTTCCCTGCCATTTATTTTTAAGAAGTGGTCTCACTATGGCACCACCTCCTGCCTCAGCCTCCAAGGTGCTGGGATAACAGGATGTACTACCATGCCCAGCATTAGGGCCATTTTTAGAATATTGTCATTGTCTTTGATGTTTGCCAGTTTGGCTAGATGTGCATGGGAGAGGATCTTCTTGTTATATGTAATTGATGTTCTTGTATTTCCTGGATATCAATGTCTTTATGCTTTTACCTATTTGGAAAAAAAAATTCAGCTAATATATTATGAAAGACATTTTCTATGTCTTTACACATCTCTTCACCTTCTGGAATATCTGTTATGTGGACAGTCAGATGTTTATGGGAGTCTAAGATTTCCCATATGTCGTCCTCAGGTTTTTTTTTTTTTTTGAGAGATTGTCGCTATAGGGCGTGTGCCCGCTCCAGACAGACAGAGAGAGACCGAGAGATAGAAAGCGAGAAATCACCCTCCAGAGGGGATGGTCACGCCGCAATCCTTCTCCTCCATTCTCCTCTCAGGATCTTGGGCACTCACGCACACACACCCGGTGTGAGTTTTAAGCCACCGGGTCCGGTACGTGAACCGCAGTCGACTATGTGGGAATCCAGTGACATAGCCATTACGCTAACTGCTAGTTCCCTGTAGTCCTCATTTTTAATGGTTATTCTTTTCAGTTGTTTGGACTAAACTGAAGTTTCATCTTCTAGGTCAGAGATTCTTTCTTTTATGTGGTCTAATCTGTGGTCAATACTTTCCAGGGAGTTTATGATTCCCATATCATATTCTCTATCTAGAGAAGTTCTGTTTGATTCGTTTTCAGAGTGTCTCTTTATGGAGTTCCTCCTTCAAGTTAAGAAAAAGTTTCTTATTTACTAGAATTGGGTGTCTATGTTTGTTTACATCTCATTGAGTTTTATTAAAATGAGTATCTTGAATTCTTTTTCTGACATTTCTGGGATGTGTGTGTGTATTTTAGGGTATTTGCTGTTGGGCCTATATACTTGCTGGAGTGAAACAAAGAAAAGGAAAGTGAGAAATCACTCCTTGCGGGGGATGGCCATAGCACAATTCCTTTTCCTCCATTCTCCTTTTGAAGTTTTGAACACACACAGATGCCCTGCATGATTTTCAAATCACTGAGTCCAGGTATTGAACCACACAGTCAGATATGTAGAATCCAGCCACCTTAACCTCCTCGCCACCTCTTGGCCTCATTGGTAACTGTTTTTAAATGTTATATTTTAGGGTTCAGGACGTAATGTAGTGGTTAAGGTGCTAGACACCCACACGGCCAATCATGGTTCGATTCCTGGGCCCAGATGCTTGAAACTCACTCCAAGTGTGTGCACACCCAAAATCCCAAGAAGAGAATGGAGGAGAAGGGATTATAGTGTGGCCAATCCCCTGTCTGGTGGGGGGAAGGGGAGGGAGGTGATTTCTTATTTTCTCTCTGTCTTTCTCTGTGTCTCTGGCGAGTGCACATGCCCTATAGCATAAATTGCCCTAAAATAATTGTATTTTTTTTTTAGAGTCTTTTTTTTTTATTGCTATAGGGCGCATGCGCTCACCAGGCAGACAGAGAGAGGCAGAGAGATAGAAAGCGAGAAATCACCCCCCAGAGGGGATGGCCACGCCACAATCCCTTCTCCTTCATTCTCCTCTCGGGATCTTGGGCACAGACGCACACGTGTCAGGAGTGAGTTTAAGCCACCAGGTCCGGGACTCAAACCGCGGTCTACTATGTGGGAGTCCAGCGACATAGCCATTACGCTAACCGCTGGTCCAAAAATAATTGTATTTTAAATGGTGATGTTTCATTGCCATAAGATGGAAAAGAAATACTTCCATGTTCATTCACCCATTTGTTCCTTCGCTCTTTCAGTCATTCAGTTGACCTGGAAAGACAATGATGATTTACACATGGTCTCATCCCACTGGAAAGGAACTCTGAGTAAATAAGCTAGGCTGGGGCAGGAAGGGTTGTAGCAGTACCTACCAGAGGCACTAGGTAATGCTATTGCAAAACAATTAGGAAGAGGTCTGTCGCTGCTTTCCTGGATGCGGGAGTCTTCCTGGAGGAGACAGTATCTGAGCTGAGCCCCAGCATATGAACAGGCATTAGCCAGGGAAAGTGGATACAGCAGTCCAAACGGCAAAATATGCAAGTCAGTCCATAGAAGTGGGTTAACAATGAATTGCCACTCCCTCCTGGAAATTTACTTTAGCCGTCTTGGGTTTCTTTGCTTTCAATTTATAAGCTTCTCAGAAAAAGGCAGCCGGGGTAGAATGGAGGGCACAGAGATTGGAGTGATCACCTGTAGATACTGGGATTGTGGGTATTTTTTCTGCGCTATGTCTGTAGTTTCTAAATTGTCTTAAAGATGATATTTGTTACTTTTTTTTTTGGTCAGTCCTTACCAGTTTATTTTATCAGAACAGTAGCAATGTAGAATATGGGAATTTTCTTCTGCTGCTCCACATGCTGCTTATGAGCATTCCAAGCCAACGTGTAAGTGTTTAGAGAGGAAGGCTAGCCGATAGCATAAGCCACGCTATTGAACACAGACATTTTTTATTTTAAAAGATTAAAAACTAGATAGTAGTGTCTTCTTAATATTGTTATCATCATTGAAGACTAAAAAAATAAAAAAAGGACTTTATAAGTTTTTAAAAAATGAGGGAAAGGAAGAAATCACGAAGATGGTACAACACTGCCATGTAGTCAAATTATCGTACTTCAGTATCTTCATACTCGATAGCAGCATGATTTTTACTGAACCGGTGGAACTACATGTAGAAACACAGCAAAGCAAAATATATGGCAGTTATTGACCGAGATCCAAAAGAAAGAAAACAAACAAAAACTAACTACAGGATGAACATACTATAAGATGAACATCTATGGAGAATGAATTAATATCTACATTTTTGGACTGTTCCATTCTGTTTCAATCAGTGTCAACTGTCAACTGTGCATTTTTGGTGAATTTGTGTTTTTCAGTTCTTATTATACTACATGCTTGGAACAAAGGGGTCCTAACAAATCCTTCTACACAATGAACTTTTAAGTAGACAGCTGAAAATAAATTTACTACTTGTAAACAGACACACTCACAAAATACAAGGTTTTTTTTTTTTTTTTTTTTTGTTTGCGCTTTTTCACCATAGGGCGCGGTCCACGCGGGATAGAGAAAGGCAGAGAGGCAAAAAGTGAGAAATCACCCCCCTGGGGCATGGCCACACCACAATCCCTGCTCCTCCATTCTCCTCTCAGTATCTTGGGCACGCATGCACACGTGCCCGGCGTGAGTTTAAGCTGCCGGGTCCAGGATGCGAACCGCGGTCGACTACGTGGGAGTCCAGCGACATAGCCATTACGCTAACTGCTGGTCCCAAAACACAAGTTTTTAAAAAATTTAAACAA